CACAGCAACAATCAAAGGACAAGATTATACAGCCCTGTAATCAGACAAATACAAGAGGAAGACGCAACAAATCCCTGAATTTTTCCTCCAATATTAAGAAACCATGGTTCACTATTTTGACATTTTCGTTTTAGAAAGAATGGCATTTTTAAAATTGTAATTTGTTAATCTGAAGCAAGAGTTAACCAAACTATTAAGGATTTTATCTATTTAATTTTCAGTTTTTTAAATTGAAATTTCAATTTTCTAAATTCCAGCAGTACAGGTTTTAAGGGTGTAGGCTCTAGACCCAGACTGGGTTTAAATCCTGGTTCTAGCACTTCCGGTTTGATCTTGAGCAGATTATTTAAACTTTCTCTGCTTTGGATTACTGCTTTTTTAAAATAGGGACACAACAGTACTTAGCTAACAGGATTTTAATTAAAGTACTTAAATAGAACCTGGTATGTAAGTTAGCTAATATTAAACATTTTTAATATGTAATTATTTTACAAATAAGTATGTTTCCGTTTAGTAATACTCACTTAAATAAGATTATCTAAAGTAATGCTATGTTGTTGTTGTTGTTATGTGCCGTCGAGTCGGCCCCGACTCATAGCGACCCCTCCTTGGGTTTCCAAGGCAGTATCACTACATAAGTAGATTGCCCCATCTTCCTTCCGAGGAGTGGCTGGTGGATTTGAACTGCCAGTCTTCTGGTTAGCAGTCAAGTGCCTTAGCCACTATGCTACCAGAGCTCCTAAGTAATGCTATAGGGAAATAAATATTATATTTTTAAGGAGGGTTTTGTTCAGTTTCCATATGTCTGCACTTTTTCCGCTGATCTTCCTATTGCTGATTTCTAATTTTACAGCATTGTGATCTGTAAAGATGCTTTGCAGTATTTCAATGTTTTTAAATTTATTAAGGCTTGCTTTATGGCCTAACATATTGTCTATCATGAAGAATGTTCCATGTGCACTGGAAAAAGAAAGTATAATGTGGTGTTGTGGGTGAAATGCTCTGTAGATGTCTATAAAGTCAATTGGTGGATTGTATTGTTTATTTCTACTACCAGTTGTTCTATCTTTCACTGAAAGCAATGTATTAAAGTCTCCTATTATTTGACGGCACATAACAACAACAACAACAACAACATTATGACTGTGGAGTCATGTATTTATCTTTTCAATTCTGGTAAAGTCTGATTTATGTATTTTTGGGCCCTTTCATTGGGTGCATAGATATTTATTATGGTTATGTCCTCTTGTTCAACTGACCCTTTGACCATTATATAATGTCCTTCCTTGTTTCGTATGGTGGTTTTTGTCTTAAAGTCAATTTGATCAGAAATTAATATTTCCACTCCTACTCTCTTTTGATTGCCATTTGCTTCCTGTATCTTTTCCCAACCTTTGATTTTTAGTCTATTTTTGTCTTTATCTCTAAGATGTGTTTCATGTAGACAGTATATTCATGGGTTGTTTTCTTACCCAGTCTGCAACTCTCTGTCTCTTGAGTGGTGCATTTAATACATTTACACTTAGTGTAATTATCAACAAGTATGAATTTGTTGCTGTCATTTTGTTATATGTTTTTTCATGGTGTTGCTGATTTCTTGTTCCATACAATTGTCTGTGCTGAGCTCATTTTGTTTATGAATTATGTCATGACTTCCTTCGTTGCTATTGTTTTTATTATTTGCTAAACACTTGTGCTTGTCCTCTTTTTTATTGTGATGTGAAGATTTATCATTTTTCTTTGAGGTTACCCTGTGATTTATAATTTTCTCCCCAAGTTTAGAACAGTCCATTCTAGCTTGCAATTCTCTTGAATTCCTCACCATTTAGAAGTTCTGTAACAACATTATTTTTTCTCTCTTTTTGGTTTGTAGTTGTCCTCATCTGCCAATTGATGTCTCTGGTTCCCTGTTTACAATCTTGTAAACTTATGTTACTTTGAATACTTCTGTAATGGGGTTGGTTTCAGGGTTATGTCATCATGTGTGTTAATGGTCGGTTGCTGTTTGCTGCTGTTGGTTCTCTGTCCAAAGGACTCCCTTTAGCATCTCCTGTATGGATAGTCTGCTTTTAACAAATTCCCTTAATTTCTGCTTATCGGGAAATGTCCTAATTTCACTATCATATTTGAGGGGCAATTTTACTGGGTATATTATTCTTGGTTGGATTTTTTTCCGTTTCAGAGTTTTCTATATACCATCTCATTGCCTTCTCGCTTGCATGGATTTGGCTGAGAAATCAGAGCTTAGTCTTATTGGTTGCCCTTTGTAGGTAACTTTTCGTTTTTCTCATGTTGATTTCAGGATTCTTTCTTTTTTTGGTTTTGGTGAGTTTGATGATGATATGTCTTGGTGATTTTCTTTCGGGGTCTATCCTATTTGGGGTTCACTGGGCTTCTTGAATGGATATATTCTCATCTTCCATCATATCAGGTAAATTCTCTTCCAAGAAATCCTCCACTGTTTTCTCTGTGGTTTTATTTGTCTCTTTCTGTTCTGGAATTCAGATTACACACAGATTATTTCTTTTGATGGTATCCCACATGAACCTTAGGCTTTCTTCATTTTGTTTTGATCTTTTTTCTGATTGATCCCTTTCCAAAGAAGTACTGAGGTATTTGTCTTCAGTCTCACTAATTCTGTCTTCCATTGATTCAATTCTACTCCTTTGCCCTTTCAATGTGTTACCTATTTCTGAAAATTTAGTATTAATCTTCTGAATTTCCAGCTCTAGATTTTGTATCATTTCTAATTTTTCATCTATTTTGCCATTTTGTTCTTGCATTTTATTCTGAAATTTTTTCTAGGGTTTTGTCTGTGTTTTCCTTAATTCTGTCTGTGTTTTCCTTGATCTATCTCTTAACCCATTGAAGGTACCTAAATATAATTCTCTTTAATTCCTTATCAGGGAGTTCCAAGTTCTTCTTCCTCAGGGATATGTTCTGGGTCAATATCCTGGTCCTTTGTTTTTCCTGCTTTATCGTGCTTGTTTGTATGGACTGTAATGGTCTGCTGTCTCTGAGACATTGTGACATTGTTGTATTTATATTTAATTGGTGATTGTATGTTGGAGTGATTCACCCAATATTTTTATTTTCTTTGTTTTGCTTGGACATTATCTGAGTAAGGAGGGTACTGTGCTCCTCTATTTGCTAGTTGGCAGCCCTTATACACTCACCACCTATCTCCTGGTGGATGTGATAGAGTATGAGAGTGACTACACAGATCTCTGTTAACTGTTTGTGAAGAGCAATTAAGGGTGAGTCAGGCTCATATTGGCTGTCATGTATCATTGGCCAGTTGGTGCAGAAGCAAGTAGTGGCCCTCACTCAGTAGGTGGGGCTGCAGGAGGTGCAGGTATGGGTGGGTCATATGGTCACAGCTGCTATCTCCCACTCAGTTAGACAAAAACAATACATAAAACCACCAAAAAGGTTAAAGCAAGAGGACAAAAAACACACCCTACATAAACCACAATCAACAAATCACTAAAACAATCACCAAAAAGAGAAAGAAAAAAAAGAGGAAAGGCAATAAATGTGGTGAAATATTTAAAGAAATGCTTTAAAAGGACAAAATAAATATAAATAAAGAGGAAAAAACCCCACAATATTTGGGGAGTGGGGAATAAGAAAAAAGGGGTAGAGTAAGAGAATAATGAAAGAAAAAATGGGAAAAATGCAAAAAGAAATACAAGGGATGGGGAAAACCACAAGAAGGAAAAAAATGGGAACCAGGAAAAGGGGAGAGAGAAAAAGCTGAAAACTAGAACCTGGGAAGGGAAGAAGAAACAATAAAAATAAAAAGGAAGAAGGAAAAAAAAAAAAAGAAGAAGAATTTTAAAACAAACAAACAAAAAGAAACAGGAAACAAAAACAAATCTGAGGAGGGCAGGGCAGAGCAGGGCACCAAAGCTCCATCAGATTGGGATAGAATTCCTGCCAGCCCAGAAGGTGGGTTGGAGTGAGGGATGGCTGTACTTCTGTTCACCAAGAGGGTGTGGAGTATAAGAGTAACATGGGAATACTGCATCTTCCAATTCTCAGCATCTGGTATGTCCTCAGCAAGTGAAGCCTATTTGTAGGTCCCTGGAATCTGACAGAACACTGTCACTTTAAATATCCAAAATGGTCGAACTGGTTATAAACATTCAAAGTGGCTATGCCCTCTGGACAGCCAAAAGTCTACAGCTCAGTTTATTGCCTTCTTTGCTGTTTCCCTTTTTAGTCATCAGCCACCAGTGTAGTCCTTGTAGCCCTCAGCGAGCAGAGCCAAATTTTAGGTTAATTCTTAGGTCCTAACACCACCTGTAAATATCCAAACTGTCTGTGCTGTCAGGATTGCTGACAGTCTGCAGCTCCATTTGTCTACTTATTCAGTATTTCCATGCAGGTTCTTTCTACTAGTTGGAGTCTCGTCCACTTCTATATCCTTCCCTTCAAAGCTCAGGGCTACAGGATTATCTTCTGTATCTATGTCAATTGGTTTCTTTTTTCTTTGTTGAAAAGGGTCTGTGTAGTTTGTCTGCCTATTCCACCATCTTATCAGAACTCCTCATTGCTCAAAGATATTACATTTTTAAATGTGGAATAAGATGTTCGAAAGGTATAAAAACATGGTATGATTTCAGCCTGAGGCTCTTAGCAGTCTTCTTTTGTGATACAGCCATCCTCCAATCTATAAGAACTTAATTTGTAAAAATGCCTACATCATTAGCCAGACACACAAAAGAAACAGATTCTAGGAGTAAGTTATATCTAATTTATTGACTGCCCAAATTCTTTTCCAAAAAGCCTGATAGTTTAAAAAATACTAGAGTCTTCTTATTTCAAGAAATAGAAAAAAATCCCAGTATAGCTAAGGCTTTATCGATCCCTCGTATTTTATTAACATGAGAATTGCTTTTTACTAGAGAATTATAGCTTTTACTAATTAAAACACAATTTTTGAGACAAGAAGGAATAGGTACAAATGACACAATAAAAAAAGCTTAAAGACTTACCACCTGGCCTTGGTGAATCTTGAGGTTGTATAAAGGGTTTCCTCTTTTGAGTGTAACTTGATTTGGATATATAGCTGACTTTTCCAGGTCGATTTACTGGAAAATTGTGACCATGATGATTCCCTCTAAAGTGGAAATTACATAATTATAATCCTAGATTCTCATACATATATATACCAAATTCACTGCCGTCGAGTTGGATCCAATTCATAGCGATCCCTCCTTGGCTTTCCAAGGCAGTATCACCACAGAAGTAGATTGCCCAATCTTCGTTCCAAAGAGTGGCTGGTGGGTTTGAACCGTCAGCCTTCTGGATAGCAGTCAAATGCCTTAGGCAATATGCAACCAGAGCTCCTGTAGATTCTCATATAAGTAGTAAATTTTAGTATTTCAAAAAGCACAAATTATACCTCATATTAATATATTCAGGAGCCCTGGTAGCATAGTGCCTAAGCACTTGACTGCTAACCAAAAGGCTGGTGGTTCAAACCCACCAGCCACTCTTCAGAAGGTTTGGGCAATCCTACTTCCGTAGTGATACTGCCTCGGAAACCCAAGGAGGGGTCGCTATGAGTTGGGGCTGACTTGACGGCAAATAACAACAACAACATTAATATATTCACTTGACACTGCTTAGATTATGTAGCTCAGTGGTTTAGCATATAATAAACCTCAACAAATTATCTTTTTATCTAGTACTTCAATTTCTTTTTTCAATTGTTTTTGGTTATCTCTCTATCCATTTCAAGTTCTCCATATCTTTGGCAGTTACTTATGTATTTATACCTGCTTTAGTCTAGAAAGGATTTAAGGGGAATCTCTGGTGTTTTGAGTAAACTCCAAACTACACATACTAGAGATCTGATTACTTTTGGATTTTGTAGTAGCATTGCCTATAAGCTGTTAGGTTATGTGATAATATTTATAATCCTACTTATTCACAATCAATCATTGTTAATAGGGGATTCTGTGTTTGTGAATACGTCTGAGATCATGTACAGACATGTGCATGCATGCACAAAGGGTGAACAATTCCTAGATGAGGTCGAAAAAAGGTGGTTCACTATCTTGCTAATTCAGTGTTTGCAGAGACTTTGTAGGGTAATAACCAGGAGTAATGAGAATTGACAGTATTTTGTCAAAGGCAGTCATTTTTTAAAAAATTATACTTAATACCAATTCACGTTCACCTTATGTATCACCAACAGATGTAACTTTCTGTTTGTTTGCCATATATAAGAAACTTTACACTTGGATAATTTTCTTAGAATGCTATGGTTAATTAACTCAGCATTTGACTGCTAACCAGAAGGCTGGAGGTTCAAACCCACCAGCCACTCCTCGGAAGGAAGGTTGGGCAATCTACTTCCGTAGTGATACTGCCTTAGAAACACAAGGAGGGGTTGCTATGAGTCAGATCCGATCGACGACAGCGAGTTTGGTTTTGATTTGATGGACTCATGTCCAAACTAGTAATGATGATCATTACCATGAAGGTAAATGTAGTTTGGATTTAAGACTAAATATATAACAGACAGCATCTACAACATAATCAGTGTAACTGAGAAGGTTGAGGAGGAAGAGCAGAGGGAGACACTGGAGCTAGTGGGACAGGCTGTTTCTGCAACAGCGAAGATGACAAACAGAAAAACAGAGAGAAGGAAGTAGGAGGCAAATTAAAGACACAAATGACAACAAAAACCATAGGAAAAAATAAACCTGGATTGAACATATATCAAAATCATCTTAGGGATTTGATAGGGGGCGGGGAAAGATGGCGGACTAGGCAGAAGGATTGCACAGACCCTCTTCAACAAAGAAAAGGGAAACCAAT